CTTTGTTTAATAGAAAATATGAAATAATTAGTGTTAGCATTCAATTTGTTATTTTTAAGATTTTGTAAAACACTCATGCTATCACTAACTATGATCCATTTATAATGACCACCATTTTTATGTTTTATGTGTTTTAAAGCTGCAAGAATAGCCACAGCCTCAGCTGTGAATATACTTGCATTAGCGTTAATTTTGTAACCAGTGCCTAAATTCAATTGCTCATCAAACATTGCAAAAGATACAGCCGACTCAGTTTTCGAACCGTCTGTGTAAATGAAATTGAAACCACTAAATTCAGTGAATCTAAAATAAACATCTTCTTTACAGTTTAGTTTGCTATCAATAATTATGTTAATTGCAGGAAATTTACTTTCAAAATCACCCTGATAACAGGGCAGCAACTCTGACTGATAAATATGCAATCCTTTAAGAAATGTATGAAATTGAAGAAAGCCCTGAAGAAAATAAGGAGATTGATGAAAAGATACAGAAGAAGATTGTGTTAAATAAGACAAAAGGTGATTATTACTTTTACTATAAAGTTTTAAAATGAACTTTTCTTTTAGAAAAGAAAACCTGATATTCATTGGCGGCAGATGGCACTCAACTTGTAGTGAATTAATTGGTGTGCTTTTAAATGCTCCAGTAATAAGCCTCATACTTTTATTTTGAATTTTATCCAATAAATCTACCAGATTACTATTACCAGCGAAACAAAGAAACCCATATTCAAAATGACTTCTTATAAGAGATTTGTATAATAATAGTAATATTTTAGGGTCAGCACCCCAAGATGTTTTACAGAGTGTTTTTAAAATATTAAAAGCTTTGTTAGCTCGTATGGTTAATAAATCAACATATTTATTCCATTTAAAATTTTGTGTAAAAATTACACCTAAAAATTTTGCCTCATTAGAATGAGGAATTGGAATTTTGTTATAGCATACTGCAGGACCACAACTATCTGTTTTTCCGAACAATACCACTTTCGATTTTAGAGGATTAATATCAAGGTTTAAATAAGAAAAATATTTATACAACCCTTCTAGCGCCTTATTTACAACATTATTAACATCAGATATTTTTTTTCCAGATGCATAAACCACCAAATCGTCAGCAAATTGCAGATTTTTAACCTCAGGACCCAAAATTAAATTAAGCCGACGTATGTACAGTACAAAGATCAATGGAGAAAGTATACCACCCTGACAAACTCCAACAGATGCAAACCTTGGACCATATAATCTAGAGTTATATTTTACAAATACTTCTCTATTTGTTAAGAATGTATGTATCCAGGAAACTATTTTGCTTGGGATTGCAATTGACAATAACTCCGAACAAAGAACATCTATATTGACACTGTTAAAAGCACCAGCAACATCAAAAAAGACAGACATCAAAAAATTTCCATTATTTATACTATTTACAATATCAAGCTGAAGCTGACAGATACTTTCACGTGCAGATGTACCCCTTCTGAATCCAAATTGATTAGAAGGTAGGATATTATTTTTCTCAACATAGAATTCTAATCTTTGTTTTAAAAGTTGTTCAAAAACTTTACCAACACAAGAAGTTAAGGCAATAGGGCGATAGGAATCTGGATGAGAAGTAGGTTTATCTGGTTTTAATATGGGCACTAAACAATCAGATTTCCAAGAATTTGGTATTTTATTATTCAGCCATAAGTAGTTCAAAACTTCTAAAAGTATTTCAAAGCTATTTGAATTAAGATTTTTAAGCATAACATAAGGAATACCGTCTAAGCCAAATGCAGTGTCTCTTCTGGAAAAAACGGCAGACTCTAATTCCTTCAACGAAAAAGGCTTAACCAAGAAGCTATCGGAAGAATCAATTGAACTGGACAGGGACGAATAACACTTGTTACTGACGTAGTCTGGGGTGTACTTTTTTAAAAATTGGGGGATCCAGCTGTCATCATTTTTACTATAAAAATATGTTTTGTTATATTTACGCATAAAATTCCAGATTCGGGATATAGGAGTACAGCGATGAAATGAGCTACACAGTTTGACCCAACTATTAGTCCTCTCAGTTTTTAAAGTAAGTTTTTTAACAGCCTGAAGTCTTTTGAATTCCATGTAAGTTTCATCTGATGGATTATTTTTAAATTTAAGGTATGCTAGTTTTGATTTATTAACTACCTCAGTACATTTTTGGTTCCACCATGGCAAAGGTACCTTTTTAAAAGACTTTCTAACAAAATTACTATCCTTGACAAGTGAAACACTTTTTGGTATTGATTTTTGAACAGCCAAATCTAATATTTTGATAAATTCATTATACGCATCCAAAGGCGTAAAATCCTGGGCCTGAAAGTTGGTCAGTAAAAAGTCCACCTCCTGAGCATAAATTTTCCAATCAACCGATTTAAAGCTGTAAAAATTAGGCAGGTTTTTACCAGTTTGTACATTATTACTTACACTATTATTAACAAAAATGTTTATCATTATAGGTAAATGATAACTGCCGAGAGGACCATTATATACCGACCAATTAGAGCAAAGTGCCAGTGATGGAGAAACCAAAGTCAAGTCTAAAGCATTCGGACGCCACGTCAATGAACCAATCGTGGTAGCCTCACCGCTATTCAGAAGGACCAAGTCATTTTCATCAATTACTTGCAAAATATCTCTGCCTCTAGGATTAGTAGAATTACATCCCCAAGATGTATGATGAGCGTTAAAATCGCCTGCAAATATAACTGGCTTAGGTATGGACTTTATTAAATTTTCAAACTTCAATTTATCAAAGGCTGGAGAACAATTAGTTGGACAATAAAAACTTACAATACTAATTTGTTTATTTTTTACAGTAATATTTACACAAATATTTTGTAAACAATTGTCATAATAAGTATTAATTTTATTATATTTTATACTTTTATGTATTAAAATGGCTACACCATTATGTTTACTACCAATGTCATTTCTTTCAATTTTGTAATTTTTTATATTGAAAATCTTTTGGGGTTGTAACCAGGTTTCAGAAATAATACCTATGTGAATATTGTTTTCATTTAAAAATTGTGTAAGTAAAAACTTATTACTAATGATGCTTTGGGCGTTCCATTGCATTATATTTATTGTGTCCATTATTTGGAGGGAGTATGATTATTTCGGAATGTTTGATGTAATATTTCTTTTATTGATATTGAATTTATTGGTTTATCTTTTTGTTGTAAGATTATTTTAGTAATTGCTTGGGTCAGTATATTCATAAAAGTATCTGATTTGGTTAAATTTTGTATTTGCGTCTCTAAAGTTTTAGCATGTAATTGTGGAAAATTGGTTTCTTTAAATAATTCTGAATATTTAATAGACATGGATTTTATTTTATTTTGTTCTACTTTTAATTTCTTTTGTGGACACACATTGGAGATGGCAATATGATTACCTCCACAATTTGCGCACTTTGCATCATTTTTTGGGTCTTTTAAACATTTTTTATAATTGTGTCCCTCTGCACATATTGAGCAAACCTCTGTGTTTCTACAAAACTTTGCAATATGTCCAAATCGCAAGCAATGCAGACATTGTTTTACCGGAGGCACATATACGCTTACTTCATGTCTCCAATTATCAAGGTACACATACTCTGGCAACTCTGTTGAGGCAAATGTGACTGCCACCGTTTGGGTAGGTTGGAACGATGCTATACCTTGCTCAGTTCTAACACGTCGCATGAACCGACGTACCTGAATAATATTGCGGGAACTTCCTATCAGAGAAAAAATCCTTTCATTTGAGAGCCCTATCGGGACAGAAGTAAGTACTCCAGTGACCTCAGTATCAGACGCCGGAATAGTAGCTTTTAATTTTAATTCGTCTAATAGTTTTTTATTTTTGAGAAAAACATTTGCGTTGTTGGACAGATCGAAAGTAATAGCTATTTTGAATTTGTTTATTGGTCTCAAATGCAGAACACCTGTGACACAATGTTTTCTAATGGCGTTTGAAATAGCCAGACGATCTTTGTCAGAGAACTGTTGCTTTTCATCTATATGTGTAAGAAATACGATATATTCAGTTTTTTTACAAGTTTCTGGATACCGCCTGGAGTATCCAGGGACCTTAAAAATTTGGTACTTCCTTGTGGGATCTTCAAACTCCGACGCCTCGGATGAAGAGTCGCTTTGAGTGTCGGCGGCGGCGGCTCCGTCAGGTGGATCCTTTTTTCTTTTTTTCACCTTGCCCATCTTCTGGTAATTTAATTTTTTTATAAATTTATACAAAACCAGGTATTTACAAGTACTTTACACGATAACTATACAAAAAAGATATTTAGTATTTAATTGAAATAAAATATTTTTCAAAAGGCGCCTTTTCTATTCAAAGCTTCCCGCCTTCCCCTCTCTATGGTGATAATCGTATTTGACGTTTATGAACGGATAAAGATGGGGACATAAAAAAATATCGATGATTGTTGCTAAAATGAATTTTATAATTTGACTCAATTTTATAATTTATCGAAAATCACATCCAATATTAAATTATTTAAGTTTAAGTGATCCCAAATTTTAAAGATTTTACTCCTTTCTATCAGTTAATCATTATTCGATTGTCGATCTTGCAGTACTTAGCTTTAACATAATTTTAAATAGTTTATTACAGCTGGGATCTGAATAAGTCTAAATAATAAAACAGCAGTCGGTGATTTTAACAAGTCAATAATATTTTTAGATAACGTTTGATGAACTCAAAAATCTTAGCTCATATTATTAACGTACCTTTATATTGACTTCCATCTTGGTATTAAAACTTTATTATTAAAACGAATTTAATATCGATGTTAGAAAATTAATATCATATAATAATTCAATATGCTAATACAAAATAATTCAGTGATAATCTTCATCATCATTTGAAAAATATCGATATTTTAATATATCGGTTCGGTTGTTCTTTTGACAACCCTATCTTTGATAACATTGTCAAGTTATCGTTATCAACAAAACATTCACCACATGGCACGAAGACGAAGCACCGACCGTGCTGTACGAACCGTAACTCAACAGGCCAGCAGCTCTTCGTTTCTTTTTCTGTTTTCATTTTAATTCGTTGGAGTGATAGAACACCAGTGTATTTGTGAAATCAAAAATTTAACAAACCGAATCCAATATGCCCACGCCCGATCAAATTTTGATGAGAAAAATAAAAAAGCGAGAGAAGAAGAAGTTACAGCTTATTAATGAGAAAATTAACGGTGATGTTGAAGAGCATGAAGGTATTTATTCATATTTTGTCGTTTATTGAAGTGTTGGTTTTATTTAACTACTAGGTACATAAATAAAAGTAACAACAACCTAAAACAACCTAATTGCCAATGAGTGTCACTTCTAATTTCGATATACCATTTCAGAAATTGAACCTGCCCCAGAACTGGAAGTACAGAAAAGACGACTTGGGGATAATGAAAAAGCAGTACCTAAAAGTAAGTAAGAAAGCTTATATTTTTGTTGAAAAGAATTAGTTTCTTGGATACCTACTTTGTTTGGATCTCTAAATTGTCAGTGTTTATTATTTACATATAATTAATTTATAAGTCAAAGATTTAAAAAAAAAAATTGTAAGTAAGATCGCACATAGTTACAATAACTTGAACAACAAATGGATGCTCCAAACTTGACATAACTCAGTGTTATATTTTGTTTAAAAAAATACTGTTATCTTTTCAGAGAAGAAAAAGAATTTGAAACAAGATATTGAGCCACAGCAACAAGCAAGTGACAGTGAAACTGTTAATAGTTCAGATAGCAACACAGAGGTTGAAAACAGCAATGAAAATTATATTGGTAAAGAAAACCAATGTAAGTATGATACTTACAGCTTACCTGGAAGACCAAGAATTTTTACTTTCTTAAATATAACCTAGCTGGATTGATTTTTTTGTGCCCCAAAGTCTGATTGAAATCATTTTCGGTCCTGTAAATACATCTATTTATAACACAAGAATTGCTTGCTTTTAAATAATATTTCTATCATGCATTCATTCATGCATGCATCTATAATGATTTATTTAAATAACTTGCCAGTTATTTGATGACCACCAATACAATAAATACCATGCCTCTAATCGCTATAATGATCAGTCTGCCATGTTCCCATCCTTATTCTTTACTATTTAGTTTCTTAAAAATTTGTCTGAGAAACTTAAACAATGACATTTACCAACTCCACTTTGCTTGGCTTTAAAATTGAACACAGCTGTTTACTCTTGCAGCCGCACAAGTATGATGAATCCATTTTATTAATTTGGTGTAACTTCTAAAAAGGTTCTTGTTTAATATTTTACAGTGCTTGGTTCCACCCTTAGTGATGGTATATTATCCAATCAGAAATTCTCTGAACTGGAAGGAAAAGTTTGTGAACAAACCCTCAAGAGCATCAAAGATATGGGGTATACTACTATGACAGAGATTCAGGCTAAAACTCTCCCTCCCCTACTTGATGGAAAGAATGTAGTCGGTTCTGCGAGGACAGGATCTGGCAAAACTCTAGCTTTCTTAATACCAGCTATAGAACTTATTTATAAACTTAAATTCAAACCTAGAAATGGTACTGGCGCAATTATTCTGTCACCAACAAGGGAATTGGCCATGCAGACATATGGACAGTTAATGGGATTGATGAAATATCACCATCACACTTATGGTTTGGTTATGGGAGGCGCAGACAGAAAGAAAGAGGCGAAAAAACTATTTAATGGCATTAACATATTGGTGGCAACACCTGGTCGATTGTTAGATCATATGCAAAACACACCAGACTTTATTTTCAAAAGTTGCTTTTGCGTTGTGATTGATGAAGTTGACAGAATGCTGGAAATGGGTTTCGAAGACGAAATTAAACAGATTCTGAGACTGTTACAACCAAATCGCCAAACAATTTTGTTCAGTGCCACGCAAAGTAAGAAAGTAGAGGCCATTACAACTGCATTTTTTGTAGGAGATCCACTTTATATAGGAGTGGATGACCACAAAGAACAAGCAACTGTAGAGTCTTTACAGCAAGGAGTCTTAATATGCCCATTAGAAAAACGTTTATTGGTCCTATTCACATTCCTAAAGAAAAGCAGGCAGAAGAAAATCATGGTGTTTTTCTCCACATGTAATTCTGTGAAATTTCATAATGATCTGTTCAACTATATTGATCTACCTGTAATGTCTATACATGTAAGTATCTATATCTATATTTTTTAATAGCATTAATATATTTTCTCTATCTTTTTACCTCCTTAATGAGTGTGTGGTATTTTATTCAATCAATGCATATTTTTCAGGGAAAACAAGAGCAAGCAAAACGTACGACGACTTTCTTCCAATTCTGTAACGCCGATACTGGAATACTGTTATGTACAGACGTGGCTGCCAGAGGATTAGATATACCCGCTGTCGACTGGATCGTGCAGTATGATCCTCCAGATGACCCTAAGGTATAGTTACTTCTGTATTGTATTTAAAAATATTGATATAGGCTAGGGATTGCACAGTTTGTGTTCATATTTTAACATATTCAAAATATAAAAAGAACGTGTTTTGTTGTGGTTATAAAATCTTATGAATACTTACATGCATGATGCAACTGATTAACAAAGATTTAAATTGACAAAGTAGAGCCCAGAGTTACAGACCAGAAGACATTGTAAGTATAGCGTAGGGATGATGATTGATTTTTAATGAATTGTCCAGCTTTTAGATTACCAAATTAATTCAAAATAGACACAATTTTTCTTTTTTTAGACAACCAAATACTCTTCTATAAATTGAAATAAATGAAATATCGGGTAACGTTACGACTTTGTTCTATGACGTAGCAACCTCCGAAAATTCCTAAATTTTAATTCGTTTCTAAATTACTATTTATGCTGGTTACCATATTATATTTTTATTCTTAATTATCATGGCTTGTCGTCCTTATTATTAACAGAATAGTATGTACATTCCAGTCACTATCATAATCAGCACTGACTTAATTAACTTTTTCCAGGACTACATTCATCGTGTAGGTAGGACGGCACGTGGTCTCAGAGCAAATGGACATGCGTTATTGTTCCTACGCCCTGAAGAGTACAACTTCCTCAGACATTTGAAAAAGGCTAAAGTAATATTGAACGAGTTTGGATTTTCTTGGGATAAGGTTCTTGATATTCAACAACCGGTAAGTATCTTACTGTAATTAATTATTTAGGTATGTGTTACATTTTCGTCTCATTGGTCGTCTGCCATTTCATGTTGAGATTTTTCTTAAAATAATCTAGTCTAGAATAAAAAATATTCTTCAAGTAATTATATTGAAATGTTGTATGTTTCCTTACTTTAAATTTAAAAGTTTTTTAAATATTGATAGGCAACTCCTGCATTTTTACCTGTTAACATGTGTACTTAAAATGTTGTTTCATTCATGTTTCAGCTGGAAAAACTAATATTAAGAAATACTTCGCTGAACCAGGCAGCTAGAGATGCATACACGACTTATGTTAGAGCATATGACTCTCATCATTTGAAGAGCATATTCGACATTAAATCATTAGATTTAACCGCGGCTGCAAAATCATTTGGTTTCGCAGTGCCACCCGCAGTTGACCTGAAAGTGGCAAGTCTACAACCGCCCCAAAAGAAGAAAGAAGGCAGATTCTCCAAATCCCAGAATGCGAAATCAAATTTCAAACAAAAAGTTAAACAAAATAAATTTAAGCGACAAAAAAATATAAGTCAGTTATGAAAAAATATGTAGGTTTTTACATAAGATTGTGTCAAATAAAATAAATACAATTTATTTAATTTTTGCATTATGTTTTTTCTTATAAGCTACTGGCCGTCTGCCGGTAAAGGTATTGTATATGTATATGCTAATAAAATATTTAGCCATAGGTAATTAATTAGGTTCTCTGGTGGAATTCCTAAACCAACTTTATAGAATAAGTAAGCCATTCCAAGAAAATAATATAGCTCTGGCTGGATGGAACTGATTAAATTAACGCGAAAGGCAAACTAAACATATAGTTTGGAAAACCAACCATAGCCGATTAAAGTCGAACTCATCCTCCCTCCCCCTCCCATTCCTTCCGCTATAGACCGAGGCTGCGGTACCTTTTTGCGCTTGCTCCCATGCTGAGCATCGGTCCGGTGGGTCCCGTCTACGGACTTGTTGAGGCACGCGCGGAACGCTACGCGTCGCAGACTTGGATCGGTGTAGGTACTTACTGGGTAGGCAATGATTGACACTACAACAGCATGCCCGTTTTTGGTTTTTTACACTACCTAATGACAAACTACGAAAAAGACCCATGTGTACCTAATTCATCGGCCAGCCAGGGTTGAGAGTTTACGAGCGTACGGCGCGTAGCGTTCCACGCTCCTCTAAGATCCAATAGACTACCACAGATGGGGCACTATAGGGCTGTGGTTCAGCCACTTACAAGTTCTATTTATTTTAGTTAGTAGGTAGGTACCTACAGTAAGTATAATTTCAAGAAGATATGCATGTTATAGAGCCGTTGATGACCTCGCTGTTTAAAAAGAAAGTTCAAAGAAGTTGGAATCGACACCGTCCTTATAAGCAAAATCCAGGATGGCGCTAGCATAGTAGCATCTACAGCGGTACCACTGAAGTTTATACGTACCTACTACTCTTTTTGAGAATAATATTATATAACAAAAAAATACAGACTTCAAAAAATAATTAAAAAGAAAAAAATAATTTTAAAAACAAAGTAATACGTATTTTCGTTTAATTCAATAGAAAATAATATTTCATAACTATTTTTCCAGTCTTGAATTCGGTGCCAAGTAAATGATAATTCTCCCTTCTATTTGGAAGTCACTTAATAACGTTAAAATAAATGATCTTGACTTTGTGAGTCGTGTTACACAAGAAAGCTATCAGTTTCATATTACCAGTACAATGTATTTCTGGCTGAGGATTATTTTAATAAATAAAATAAATATATCTCTATCTCTCCCTTTAAATATATCTCATTTAACCTCTTTGGTTAAAACTCCTTGACATTAACATTTTTTTAAGTTTGACACTGACTCAACTTGACAGCACCAGATCATTTATACTCTGTGAACGAATTTGACGTATTTCAAAACGTGCGTTTCGTGTGTACTTGAGTCTCGTATTGATGTAAATTGTGAATTAAATAATAATTGAAACATACCTCGGACAATATGCCTACTCCTGAACAAATTCTTAAGAAGAAGAATAAAAAGCGTGAGAAGAAAAAGCTAAAGCTTAATAACAACAACCAAAATTCTATTACGGAGGACAAAGCAGGTAACATAACCTCTTAAATCACACTTAGAAATGTTATTTTCTTATTTTAGCTCTTTTATTATACATTTCAGTCTGATCACATTAATATTCTATTAATACTGACTGACTTTTTATATTACATACAATCGTAACCCAATGTTTAACTAATTTTATTTAAAAAACCCGTAAAAGAGCACGCATGTTTCTATTTTATTATTATGTATCATATTAGATGTCAGATTTGTGGAACTACAGTGAAATTCTATTTACAAAATATGACATGGGGGTTATGAATACCTCGTAACCCTCATGTTTGTTTTTAGTTTCTGGATTCAGTTATTTGAGGGCCTCACTTTTATTGCTCTTGGTCAATCTAGTTTCGATTATGTCTGGGTGGTAACAGGTCTATCCATGTAAATGCCCCATTCTTATTTGAGTTGATTACCTCTGTTTCAGAAGCTGAGACTAACACAGACAAGGCAGTAAAGAAAAGGCCACATGATGACGAAAATGAAAAAACAGTACCCAAAAGTAAGTGTTTATTGTAAGATTTAACATTAATACCTACTCACCCACATGGTATTTTCATTTAAACATCTCTTTGTTAAAATGAACATTAATTATATAAAAATAAAAATGGAAAATCACAAAAATATGTTTGAAATAATGGTGTTGTGATCTCTTAAATTAATCCCATCAATATTTGTAGAAAAGAAAAAGAAGGTCAAGCAAGAATCAAAACCGGAACCAAAACCTGAACCTGTGGAAGAAGAAAGTGAAGGAGATAACAGTGAAGCTGAAAATGTAGAGGAAAAAATTGAGAATAGTGCTGAAAGTAAGAATAATCATTTATACAATATTGATATGTATAAAGTAATTATTTATTTCATGAAAAATGTGTATAATTGCACAATACCGTTTTACAAAAAAAAGCACCCAAAAAGAAACATGACCTTTATGTCTGCCTGTATGGATTATTTTGTCTTTTTGTGGCATAACACATTCCCTTGATTTATTACTGGCAAATGCCTAGTACTGTTAAGTTTTTTCAAAGGACTGTTTAAAGTTCAGCATGCCCCAGCTGCATTTATTTAAAAATTTCTCTTCACTTGCTTTAAATTCCAAACTTCAGTTTATGGGTGCTGTAAAAATATTTAAGCTAGCATTCTCTACCTCTGATAGAAAGTCTACTTTATTATAATTATAATTTTAATAGCAAAATAAGTATGATGTATTAATATAACTTTTAGTTAAAGATGTGTTTTAAATTTTGCAGTGCCAGGTTCCAGCCTATGTCTTGGTATATTATCTGACCAAAAATTCACTGCGCTAGAAGAAAAAGTTTGTGAAGCAACACTAATGGGTATCAAAGAAATGGGCTTCACTACCATGACAGAGATTCAAGCTAAAGCAATCCCCCCGCTACTCGAAGGCAGGGACCTAGTGGGTGCTGCTAAGACAGGATCTGGCAAAACTCTAGCCTTTTTAATACCAGCTATAGAACTTATCTATAAATTGAAATTCAAGCCTAGAAATGGTAAGTTAATTGAACATAAAATGCTGTACTTTATTTAATTAGGAAGAATACTGTCCAGTTATGCTTAATTGAAAATAGTCCTATTAGTCACATAATTAATTCATGTCTGAGAAAAGGTCAACTGTTAAAAGTAGTTTCAATTCACAATGGGATGCATTGATTTGTGTGTGACCTTGTCAGAGCTGACTGAAAGGTAATTAATATGAGTAAGAATTTCAATAAATTTGGTATATCTCACAATAGATATTATTAAAAAAATTGTAGTAGTATTTTTGAAGTTACATACTAGAATTGTAATTAAAAATTTTTTTTTTTTTTATTTTTTTTTTTATTACTTTTAAAGAAGGCTTACAGACTAATAACATAATATGGGTAAACAAATAATCTTAAATATTGCTAATAACAAGCCTCCACATATATATGTTATTATGTTATTGTTGTCGTAGGACTATAGACATCTTAGACTAATAAACACATTTGAAAACACTTACTTAAGGATAATACTACTACAGTTCGGCTGATAAGTCTGTAATATAAGACAAAAAAATTAAATAAAAAAAAAATAATTATTGAAAAAATTGTTTTGCTAGTATTTGCCTCGTCGTGCTAGCGGATGTACAAAAAAGATCAATGTTCAACTCAAGAGGTAGTTTGTTGAAGCTTGACGTGCTCCTAGCAAAGAAGGCATTTCGCCTGTAATTTGTGGATGAAAAAGGAACGCTGAGCAGTGGCCGCTGACGCAAACTGAGTTGATTCGTTCGCAGTTCTAACTTAGCGACAAGTTCGGTACAATCGATTGTGCCATTCGCTATATTAATTAAAAAACAAACATCATTTGTGAATCGTCTATATTCCAGAGGTAGGAAATGGTATCTGTGACAACGTTGATTGTAATCTGTCGAATATTGACGTGCTTTAAAATCAATATATTTTAAGAATTTTTTCTGGATAGCCTCAATACGAGACTTATAAATGTCATATTGCGGGTTCCAGACCTGTGATGCATATTCTAAATGACTACGTACAAATGAACAGTATAATATCTTAATTGTTTTTATAGATCGGAAACAAGTAGACATTCTCGTTATGAAGCCTAATGCTTTTGCCGCTTTCGTAACTATGTAATCAATATGCTGATCGAATAACAGTTTACTGTCAAAAAGAACACCAAGATCTCTGATGGTATTGACTTTATTAATTTTTTGACCATACAGTGTATAACCTGTACCTATTAAGGTCTTTTTGCGCGTATATGTAACGTGATAACATTTAGACACATTAAGCTGTAGTTTATTTAGGCTACAATAAGTCTCAAATCTGATAAGATCTTCCTGTAAGTGGTGTGTATCCAAGTCATTATGTACTTTTTTAAGTATCTTCATATCGTCAGCATAGAGTAAAATATAGGAATATGTAAAGCATGATTTTATATCCGATATAAATAATATGAATAGTAAGGGGCCTAAAATTGAGCCTTGTGGCACTCCAGAGGGAACAGATGTCCAGTCAGATGTATAGCCCTGTAGCACTACTGCTTGAGTCCGATTGTCAACATATGAACAGAACCACCGATATAAGTCACCATGTATTCCGGCCGACAACAACTTTTGCAGTAACACACGATGGTCAATACGGTCGAAGCATTTGCTGTAGTCGGTGTAAATTATGTCAACTTGTGCATGCTGCTCCATTCCTTCAGATATGAACTCATGCGAAAGGACAAGGTTAGACGTGGTTGAGCGTTTTCTAAGAAACCCATGTTGTTCATCACCTAAATTACATTTAACCGCCTCATAAAGATCGGTATATACAATCCGTTCAAGGATCTTAGAGAACAAGCATATCTTGGATATGGGGCGGTAATTTTCAATTTCGGACATATTTCCTTTTTTGAAAATTGGCGTAACATATGCCGATTTCCAAATTTTGGGAATAATTCCTTCCGAAAGTGAGCGCCTAAACAAAATGGTCAT